TCTGCTGTGATTAATTTACAAGGGACGGGTTGGGCAGTTTTTGCCACGATGGGGGGAGGGCGGGAGAGGGTAGAATCTGTGGGGTATTCGCAGAGTACGCATTCGCTTAGATCATCGTCGGCTTCAGTTGATGGAGGAAGCCAAGTGCCGCATGCGAAGCGGCAGAAGACGAGAGGAGGGTTCAGTGACTTGCTGACATGTCCGGTGTGCTTTGAGACGATGTTTGCCCCTATTTATCAATGCAACAAGGGTCACACTGTTTGCTGTGGATGCAAGGCAAAAGTGACGTCCTGCCCCTCGTGTAGAGGCCCTCTCGGTGACATCCGCTGTCTGGCACTTGAGCAGGCTGCTGAACTGGTGGATGTGCCTTGCCGCTATCAAGACCATGGCTGCCCTATGATGGTGGAGTATACCGCGAAGAAGGAACACGAGGAAACCTGCAAGTTCCGGCCTTTTGAGTGCATCAGCGTGGGTTGCCAAGCCGAAGGTCAGTTGCTGACTGCAGCACAGCACAGTTGTTACATATGTCTTTGGGTGTTGATTGTTGGTGCTGGTTTTGCTTCTGGGCCTCAATGAATGCGCGCACTGCGTTCGCATTGGGATTGCGGGTTCTGTTTTCTTATCTCAACTCATCTTGGTATTGTGCATGCCGCTGGTTGCCAGCATCTGGCATCGGGCGGAATGTGTCTAAAGCCTAAAGGGCAATAAACAAGGAAAAATAAAAGATAAGGTTGGGGGATTCTCCGCACTGGGAGAGAAGATTGGTGGTACATATAGGATTGCAATAGTGCAAGCTTCCAGACGGCACATCTGGATGCAATGAAAAAGGGGTATCGAGTGGTTTTTCGCTACTGTCCCACGGCAGAAACAGCGAACAGCTGAGCTGCAAGTGGTTTTGATGTTGTGAAGCTGTAAAAACTGACTTATTGTGAATATCAAAATCATGTGTTATCGGTAAATGCAGGGTCCCGCTTGTCCGTAAAAAGGTGCAAACTGTAGTAATTCAAGTACTCATGTCGTATATCGAATAATGCACGTACTCATGTTGATACACGTGTGTGTGTGTGTGTGTGTGTGTGTGTGTGTGTGTGTGTGTGTGTGTGTGTGTGCAGTGAGTAGAGGTGCTGCTTGGGCATGTGTCAGATGGATCTGCCAGGCAGGGAGAGTAGGGGGGAGCCTACGACTAAAACAGAGTTAGCACCTCTACTCTCCCTAAGACTCCTAATTCTCTTTCTTTCCTCGATTCCACGTCTTCATTGTTTGCCTTGCAATCGAGGAAGAAAGAGAGTTCAGATGGGAGTCAGGTGGAATGCTTTTTGCAGGCTTGGGGTGATGGGAGTCTGGCAGAGCAGTTACGGACCCCCCCCCCCCCCTGGTGCTGCTCATTTGCAAATCCGGGAGAGGCTAGGTGACCCCAGGAATTATGGGTAAGTGACCCTGGGGGGGGACCCAAGGGCGGGTAGGGGTGAAGAGGTTGCAAGCGTATCTCATGACTGTCATCCTAGGGGTGCAGGATCCTTTTTGGGCAGGGGTGCAGGATCCTTTTCGGGCACGGCTGCAGGGGCCTTTTTGTTCCTTGCTGGAAACGAAAAGGTCGAGCGTCCTAAGCAAATCGCAAAACCATACAAATAGAATACATAACAGTGATAACACAAGTTACACCTCCCTCTATTGCCAGGAAGGAAGGATTCAACACGAATCGTGCCGTCGCATTTTCAAAATCAACAACATCCTTCGGTCTAACACTTGTTTGAACCCTTCTCCAAGCTCTCTTCAACCGGCCGGGCCGCCAGTTTTGCAGCGGTTTTTTATCTGATGATGTAAGCAGACAGATCAAGTGACTGACTGACAGACTGGCAGACAATGACGACAACCTCACAGAAAAACAGATGTAGAATAGAGACGGGGGGGGCGCAGGCAAAGAAACAGAGGGAAGGACAGGCAAACAGATGGACTTCACCAACTGTAAGAGATAAAGACAGGTGAAGATGACAGACAGACAGACAGACAGACAGGCAGAGGCCGATGACAGGCGGATCATTCGCAGATGTACAGACAAACCAACGCACGCACAAACAGATGGAACGTGTGGCATTTGTCCGCGAACTTCTGATATCGCATGAAGATTCACAGCATCCAGCGGGGTCCTCAAGACTGTGTGTTGCGGGCATACTTGAAAGTTTGTGCTTTTGGTGTGGTCCCCACAGGATGTACCCGTTTTCATAGCTTATTCGTTGATAGGTGCCCAGGCCCCAGGGTACTTTAACATGGGCAGCAGTCAGTGGTACTCCTTTGTGGCTGCGTGGTTATTGTTTTGATTGTGTGGACGAGTGCGTGCATGTGTGGGTGCGGTCGTTGAAGTTGTTTTGAAAAAAAAGAGTAGTCGGTTGGCAGGTGTTAATTATTCTCGCTTGCTGTCCTCGGTGTACAGCACTGAACCGTCTGGTTATATCTTTTTGATTGTGTGGATGGAATGCCTGATGTGTGTGTGTGTGTGGGGGGGGGGTGACGTTGAAGTTGTGGGAAATGTGTCATTGTTTGAAGTGTGTGAATCATTCTTTTTCTGTGCTTCATGTACGCCAGCCACTAAACCCTCTGTGTACAGACTGAGATTAAGTTCTCATTCCATTATGAACGTGTTGGGCGGGAGGCAGAGCTATCTTTGTGTTACGGAGCTACAGATTTGTGCAGTTTTTCCGAGGCGGTGCGTTTGATTTTTTCTTAAAAGCAAATTCATTGTCATGCTTTTTTTTTTTTTCCTTTTTTTTTTGTTGTGTGTGTGTGTGTGTTTGTGGACGGGGCGAGGATGGAACAGGGGTTGATCAGTTATTATGTTGTGTCTTGTTGACGACAACACAGTGATGCGCCTGGACTGACAAACAGGCGCACAGACAGGCAGGCTGGCAGACTGGCATATGGACATGCAGAGGAACAAGCAGGCAGACGGAAGACTGATCTACAAAACAACCAGAAGAACAGAGACAGGCCGTGTCGAGCTGACAAGATGACAGGCTGGCGGGCAGAACCTAGTGGCGAACAGACGTAGAGACGGATGGGGACAAAAGGCAGGCGAGCACACAGACAAACAGGTAGACGGACGGGCAAACTGAAAAGATAGGCAGACAGATGAACATGCAGAGTTGCAGAGTAACGCACGGACAGGTAGACACGCACAGTGACACAGGCTGACAGACAGAGAGACATGCAGACAAACAGACAAACCGACTGGCTGGCTGAAAGATAGGCAGACAGACATGCTCACAGCATAGGGACCCACACTGGCACACAGCCAATTGCACTCACAGACTGGGAAGAGACCGATAAGCAGACAGACATACTCACTCACGCTTTCTCACTCGCTGCCATGAGCGGAGCTGTAGTGGGAAAAAACTGCTGGTTGTCGTAAACTGATGGTGGACGAGCAAACAATTGCACTGACAAACTGCTGGCTCATTCTTCAACTGTACTATCGACTGGACTACGAATATCCGACCATGAGGTTAACGTTTTACATAATGAGAAGAGGTGTAACCAGAATGCTGCAGTGTCATGTGGGTTGGAACTGAGCATTTGCTAAACCCCCCAGGTTTTGAATCCCCACGACGGGTGACCGGGACCCCCACTCATGACCCCTGGTCTTGACCGGGCCTTTCACAGCCACAGAAGCCTCGTGGGACACACATGGGGGATCGGGGTTGGGATGGGGGTTGCTGAACCCGTCCCTGACCCCATGGCAAGGGGCCAAAAAAAAAAAAAGAAGGATTGATTGTTTGATTGATTGATTGATTGAGTGAGTGATTGATTGATTGAACGATTGAATGATTGATAAGGTCCTCGCTCCACTGCACAGCATTCTAGATGTATCTGGGACCTGGAAGTGCGGTCTGAATACAGTCGAAATGTTCGGGTATGTGTTCCACTACCATTCTAGATACGTGCAGAGTATTGACGAGTAGTGGAGTGGGCCTGGTTGATTGATTGACTGATTGATTGATTTTTTCTCTCTTTGTTTATAAGGTTATGAGGGGTGCTGGTGACAGTGCAGGCGAGGATGTCCTACAGGAGGTACTAGGCATGCTGGGGGAGTCGCGAACGCGGGCGTCCCTGCCCTGTGCTCCAACTGAGTCCCCCCCTCCGCCGCCCCCGTCCTCCCATGACCCCTCACAACCCAAGGGGGGCATACAAGTGGGCACTCTCGGTCGACTCCCTCTGGCCCGAGAGCGCATGCACAGCAACAGATTCGATGTGGCATCCCGCAGTTCGGGTCTGTCTAGTACCTGGTGTGCACTGATCGGCACAGGTGGTCCACCACTGAGCATAGTCATACCGCTTGCCTACCCGGTGTGTTCCTGGCCTGCAATGGTCGACGCCCGCCGGCCAAGTGCGCAGAGTTGCGGGGAGGGAATAGAGGCATTATACTTCATGACATTCTGAACTAATACCAGAATGTTGAAGCTGTGTAGTGTGGTACAATGGTACAGGGTTCCTTGAGGTTTGGGATTCCAGAATGTTGAAGCTGTGTAGTGTGGTACAATGGTACAGGGTTCCTTGAGGTTTGGGCCAAGTGCAGAAAGTGGCCAGGTGTTCATGTCTCTAACGGGTACAAGTTTTCTCAAGGTTTGCTTTTGGGGGTGGGCTAGAGTCCTCTAGGCTGACTCGGTTTATTTAAAACTCGTGATAGTTTGAACTTGGTCGTTATAATCACCTCCAGGCTGCTGAAGCTGGAGTTGGTTGACTTCAACTCATATGAGCCGTGACAGTCGTTGATGGCTATCGAGATTAGTGTTTTAGCGACAGGGTGTTGTGTGCTGTGTGAAGAGATTAGTACGGTCTGACTAATGGTGGTCCCGATCAGATGTTTATCCAACCAACGGCAAGCATTGTCCTTTCCATCTTGCTATGACACTGCGTACCGTCTTCACCCGAGTGGAACGCCTGGCCATTATAGCGGGGTATTCGGTGCAACTTTCGGTCCAGATACGGCAATAATGAACGGGCGTTTTATTCGGGTGAAAACGGGCGAGATAAGTTGCTGTGCAGAGGTCAGTAAGGTCTAGCTAATGGTTCTGAATCTTCTGATCGGATGTTTATACAATTGCAAGCCTTTGGGCTTTCTTACTGCCTAGCTGTATCTGGACGGACAGTTGCACCAGATACCGATTTTTTGTGCCACTTTCGGTCCAGATACGGCTATCTTTTACTGCCTAGCTGGTAGTGTGGTCAGCGCTGCTGTGTACGCGATGCAAGGTATTGGCAAAATCAGTTAAACTTCTGCTTGTGTGTGTAAAGTCTTTTGCGTGACCTTTTTTTTTTTTTTTTTTTTTTTTTTTTTTTTTTTTTTTTTTTTTTTTGGAGTTCAGACATTTTTTTTCGGGCAGGTGATCTGGCTTTGCTCTGCCCATTCATCGGTTTGCTATTGATTGGCGGTCGTAGTGGTTGGCTGGTGGCAGGGTGGGTGTCGAATCTGACCGGTGGTTCATGCTGAATTGGGTCATGCATGTGTGGTTGACCTGGTGTGTGTGACAGGGACTGTGCCATGGCTGCTTACGCACTTGAAGGCTCATCCGAAGATCAGCATTTATGAAAGCGCACAGATAACGACGAACATTGTCGTATCGGATAAAGTAGGGGCCTACCATCCTCTGGTGTATTCTGCTCATACGCAGTATTTCTGCTTGCGCATGGAGATGTGTAAGTTGATGGGTCCCTTGGTTCTTGCAGCCTGGGTGCAATTCATGGGAGAGAGTGAGATGGGGCGCTCCTTCAGGTATTCTCTGGAGGTCACAGCAAACGGCAGGAGGATCCTCTGGGAGGGGGTTCCGCGAACTATCAGGGAAAGTGGAGAGAAGATTCGAAACTCGCACGACTGCCTGATTGTTAGGAAAAATATGGTGGACTTCTTCTCCACAAAAGACAAGGATGATAGGGCAATGCTGCGTTTGACCGGGTCGATATGGAAGCTCAAGTGATCGCCTTTTGCCACCACCAGCAATGCTCTTGCATGCCTGGCAAAATGCGTTCCGAGACGGTCTGTTGGTGATCGGTTGAAGACGGAAAGGGCGATTCACAATTTGTTATTGTAGTCAGTTACGGATGGGATGGGGTTGCTCTAACGTCTGCGGTGTTGTGGTTAAGGCCATATACCTAGACTAGAAGACCATTCCTTGGAAGGTTGGAGAGAGAGGAGGGGGCAGCATCACAGCCTCTGCTGCAGTCGGTATGCGGTGCTGCTTCAGAGGGGTCGTCTTGTAAATAAGCATGTGGCTGACGTGAGAAGCGCAGCGCGTCTGGAGACAGTCGGGCGAGTGGCCATAATAACAGAACCAGATGTGAGTGGAAACCACTGGGCGATACGAGTGGAAACCACTGTGAAATGAAGGCTGCTCCCTTCCCTACGACTGATGAGCTGTGTTCGACTTGTCCGTGCAAACCTGCACTGCGGATCCGTGGTGTAGAAGCTGTGCTCCACAGCGCTTTGAGCGTTTGACGATTTCGTCTTGCCACGGGCGATAGACCAGTGTTGTTGTGCGGCAACAAGCAAAAGAATTGTTGCTTGTTTCCTAAGGAATTGCAGATGTTCCTTCCTCATCACAAGTCCTCCGACAAGGTGGGAAGTGCCCTTGGGTGCAGTCATGGAGTACGAACTCAGGCCTGTATTTCAACAGTTCAGGGGTGTACCAACTGAGCTAGGCCAGTTGGTGGTGCGGTCAGATTCCAAGGCAAGCGATCCCCGATTGCTGGTGTGTAATGAAGGAAATGCAACACACCTGGGTTGGCCGGACCGCCGGTAGTTGACGGGTCAGCACAGAGGATGAGGAATGCTTGAGCCGAAGTCCAGGAGTCGTTTGCCTCTTGTGGAGGGGCGATTTCTGCCGCCGGAAGGAGGACACACAGACATGTGGTGCACTGGACGGCTGCAAGAGGGCTGTTGCGCAAGCTAGCATGGACTGCTGTTTGTAAACGGTGTCGCCGTTTCACGGCTCATTTCTTCCTGCTGTTGTTACGTTGGTCGGCATCTGAGCCATAGGTGATTTTGCCTCAAACAAGTGGTAGCGAATCGCTACCAAACTTAAGGCTGATTGTTGCCGTGTGTGGAGAGCTGCATGGATTGGCTGTCAGGACATGATGTGATGTATGTGCTTGCCCTTTGGGTTGTCACGGCCACCGCCTGATATCTGTTCGGGATTTGGCATTGATGTCTTGCGGGCTTGCCGAGCAGTACGTGTCACACACAGGCACGTACTGCTCGGCAAGCCCGCAAGGCATCAATGCCAAATTCCGAACAGATATCAGGTGGTGGCCGTGACAACCCAAAGGGCAAGCACATACATTACATCATGTCCTGACAGCCAATCCATGCAGCTCTCCACACATGGCAACAATCAGCCTTATATAACTTTGGTAGCGATTCGCTACCACTTGTTTGAGGCAAAATCACCTATGGCTCAGATGCCGACCAATGTAACAACAGCAGGAAGAAACGAGTCGTCAAATGGCAATGGGCACTTGAGGCGGAATTCAGAGTTCATCAGGGTTGTTAATTTCAGATTGCTTTCGGTTGGACATGACCATCTTTTACCCTTTCAGCCTGTTTCAGGTGCAGTGAAGGGACTGGTTCCAGCATGGGAAACATATGCCCACTGATGATTGGATCACAATTCGAGGCGCCTCTATGTGTTTCTGGTCCTCAGAATTCAGAGGTCTTGGGTGGACTGGACACGGATCACTCCCACTTGGTTAAGGGTAAGTACCTCGTCAGAATTCAGAGGTCTCGGGTGGACAGGACACGGGGGATCACTCCCACTTGGTCCTCGTGAGCACCATCGCCTGGCAACTATAATGTTTCATGGTCGATCAAAGGAGCTCAACCTTCTAGGAAGCAATTTGGAAAAGGTGATTGGTATTGGATTTACGACGCGGTGTGGGGCTGTGAGCTGTGAGACCATCATCGACAGAGCGATGGATGGCTGGCTCTGCTGCCTGCAGCTGTACCTGCAGTAGAGAGCAGACTGGCACATATATGGGGTTAGAGACGATCACAACTGTGTGAGTCACCGCTCCGCAAGCTTGGATTTTGTTGCCTCGCGAATCGCGATCTCCTCCTTCCCCCTTTTTTTGTGATGCTATATCACATGGATTGCTCTCGAGGCTCGAGCGGGTCGGCGTCCGTTGGTCGGCGATAACACTGTCAGATGGCTTTTTGCTTTGGAAGTTGAAATCATAAAAGCACCATGGTGGGCGGCGGCAGCACGGGTTTTCGGTAGCATTGGCGTTTTCTCTGATAGAAGACGGCATTACCCTTGCGATTGTTGAGACAAGACCATACTTGAGTGGATGGCATAACAATAACAGGTTTTGAATGAGGGCGTTTTCACAAGGGCACTATCTTAAGTGTATCTGGCCGCATCTACGACTGCGCGTGGATGTGTCTGGCTGCAATTCCGCCCCGAAGTAAGTCAAAAGAAGTGCTAGTGTGATTAGCATTCCCTAGCATTGGCAGTTGTTAGTCACAGTACTTCTGCGAATCGATCGATTGGATTTGTCATTCGGTCATTCAAGTCGATTCAACAGTGCAGCAGCGGATTGGGACCCGCGTGTATGAAGGACTTTTCAGATTTGTGGGTGTTAAAAACTTGATGTGTGTGTAGTTGCCGTGTACAGTTTGCTCCTTGGTATTGGCCAACAGCGGAATCAGTCTTCTTACCGTAAAAAACGTGAAAGCAAGCAAGGAGAGTGAGTGGAGTTGGTATCGCGTTTTGGTGCGTGGGTCGGCGAGGAGGCTCATGCGCGGCAGTGGGTGGTAGTGGAGCGCACGAACAGTCATCGTCGGGCTCCGAAAATGATCGCGGCAATGGAGGGGCAGAAGTGGCACAATGCTTTGCGGCTTCTACTGTTCTTCGGCTTCAACGTATATGGATGATGAAGTTGTGCTCTGCAAATCGATGGGAGAAGTGGGATTACTGTTATAGTAGTGCTGGTGCACTGCTGTGGGGTGGGTGGTGCAAGGTTATACTACTAGATTAGGTTGAGCACATGTGACCTGCTGCATTTGTTCTGTCTGTCTGAAGACATCCTCTAGTGGAGTTTGGCCATCCGTTCGTTTGATGCTTGCTGAACGGTGAGCTAGATCGATGGACGAGGCTGCCCAGGGGGGAGAGGGGGGGGGGAA